GTGTGTTTGCAGCCAACACCGCCTTCATGGCTCTCCTGGCCGCTGACGCCAGCATAAACAGCGTTAACAACCGGAAGTTTGCTGTGCAGCAGATCAACTACATTCTCGGAGACAACAAGCACAATGGCGGTTGCTTCAGCTACCAGATCGGATACGGACAGAAGTACCCACAGAGGCCACATCACAGAGGATCGTAAGTACAGGCACACCCTGATGATCAGACCTAGGCCCCCACATGCTACGAGGAACACATTAATATTATTTAGTCCTTTTCCTCTTCTTAACTTTAAAAATTCTTCTTCATTATTATTTCGTCCGTAGAACGGGGTACTTTTACTAGTTATTAATTATAATAATAATGATAATGATAATAATAATAATAATAATGATAGATAGCAATTGTATAGCGCAAATCCACGTTCAACAGCAGGCTCTATGCGCTTTGCAATCTATACTATTACCCCCAGGAGACCTGAGAGCATTCTGAAACAATCTCAACTTCCTGAGAAGCATACAGTGCAAGCAGCTATTTATAGGCGCTTCAACAATAACATACTGACAAATCTTTCTCTGTTTATGGCAGGGTACCCATTCCTACTTGGGTGAAGTTAGGAAAATTCGTGCAAAGTGCCTTTACCAAGGACAAAACGTCGGGTCCGCGGCTCGAACCCCCGAACTGGCAACCCCCCGATTACAAGTCCGGTAGCCTAACCACTAGGCAACAGCCTTTTTGGAACATAAAAAAAGAAGAGAAAATTGTTTACGATGCTATCTTCACCCCTAACTGTGACAGAAAACGAGATGATGAGATTCGTTATCAAGATATTAAAAGAATTGCATTCGAAACAGGTTGACATGTTGTGAAACTCAAAATTTTCGACGTCAAATTACTCTAATCTAGTTGCTCTGCTTATAGAACTTTGTGGTTTTTAACTTTGATTTTTAAAACACATTTCTGGGTGGTTTTGACTGAAAAGCGTTGATGAAAGAGAGAAAAAAAAAAGTAAATTTGCAGTTTCCAGGGCCTCTGAAGTTTTAAAAGTAAAAATACTTGGCGGCCATTTTCTTTCAAATGTTGTCGATGAAACTAAGAAACCCCAATGTCCTTCAATTGCAAATAGCTCGACGTGTTTTTAAGACAGCTGTGTATTTTGGGTTGTTTTCTTTAAATTAATCAAACGCAAGACAAATGAACATGCTGTAAGAAATGCGAATAATTCAGAATGCATGCCTAACATTTGACGAGCGCTTGATTCCACAGCAACGTGATACATACAACGTCCTTGTTCCACTTACTTACTTACTTTTACTTTTTCATCCTCTGTTGCCGTTAAGTGTCGAGGGGAGATGTAGTTTTCTACAGTAGGCCAGCTCTGCAGCAATCACTTTAAATCTAGGAAAATTTACAGTCTGCCTAATAGCAACAAAACCCCCCCCACAAAAAACCCACCCAAAAACCCAACAAAACTTGTGGAACATTTTCGCATCATCTTATCGAATCTCCCAAACCTCTGTCCAGATCTTGCCCGAAAGGAAGCACCTGTGGCTGGGATTTTTATCACAGCAGTAAGGCCAACGTCAACAAGCTTCTGGGTGCTCTGGTCGGAGGTCCCGATGCTCATGACGGCTACCAGGACAACAGAGACAACGTCGGCCAGAACGAGGTGGCCACTGACTACAACGCTGGCTTCCAGGGAGCTTTGGCGGGTATGTCTGTGGTTTTGACCTTTGGGGGGAGGGGGGGTATGTCTGTTATTTTGAGCTTTGGCGGGTTTGTTTTTGGTTTTGAGCTTTGGTGGGTATGTTTGTTATTTGGAGCTTTGGCGGGTATGTCTGTGGTTTTGAGCTTTGGCGAGTGGGTCTGTGGGTTTTTTTTAGCTTTGGGGGGTTTGTCTGTTATTTTGAGCTTTGGCGAGTTTGCTTTTGGTTTTGAGCTTTGGTGGGTATGTCTGTTATTTTGAGCTTTGGCGGTTTCGTCTGTTGTTTTGAGATTTGGTTGGTATGTCTTATATTGAGCTTTGGGGGTATGTCTGTTATTATGCACTTATATGACCTTATTGTGCTGCAGGTGCCCGTAAAACTCTTACTAAAAACCATGCCATTGTCGGTCGCCACTGTGCAGCGCCCTGTATTCTGAGCTAGGGCAGTCGTGTCTTGCTTAAGGATACACCCCCAGTGACCACTCTTCTAAATCCCGTGTCACCGACATTTGCTTGACTTTACTTGAGTCTGAACTCACTGCTCACTTACACGGGGTGCCCACCACGGATGAGATCGGCCGATATGGCAGATCGCCCGACTCGATCGCCTAAAAAACAAATGTGTTTGTTTTCAGTTTCAGGCGATCGAGTCGGGCGATTGGTCCGATCCAGTCGTAGTGGACTCCCCGTATTAGCCCCTGGAGCCCCCAAATGTTATGATTATTATAATATTAAATGATTAATATTGTTATTATTATCATTATTGTTATGATTGTTGTATTTTCTTTTTTTTCAGCTATCGTTCACCTCCAGGACAAGCATCTTCTTCCACCTACCTCCACTAGTTGCAAATGCAACTGAGACCTTCGACCACACTAACCACAATATAACCATCTTCTTAATATCTAGGACAGACAGGGCAGTGCTATTGCTACGATGAGTCTTGCACAAGGTGGAATCGTCTATCCTTCAATCTTGGCAGGCTTTTTCGTATTCTGTAATCCACATGCCGTGTCTGCTCAATAAATACACAGAAAAGATTGGCTGCTCTTGGTCTTTTGTCTCTCGCTTTTCTCGTACGTGACGTTTAATGTCTCTGGCATGTGCCAGCTACTCTCGTGGACGAGACCTTACGGTGCTCGCCTCTCATCCAATAAGTCTCGGGTTCGAAAAGATGGAAAACTATATTCTCTAAAATTGTTCATCCACCCCCGATTTCCTGCTCTCTGGGCGTGTTCTGTTGTCTGTTTTCATCTCCACTTTCTACACCCCCCCCCCTCCAAATTCGCCACCTCTCCTTTTTGTCTCATCTCTCTCTCTCTGTCTCTCTCTGTGTCTCTGAATCTCTGTCAGTCTGTCTGTCTGTCTGTCTGTCTGTCTGTCTGTCTGTCTGTCTGTCTGTCTGTC